AGAATTGCACCTAGCTTTTGGGCTACAGGACGACATAGAGGCACTTTTGGCGAGGATGCAGAGCTGTTCAGACCCGAGAGGTGGATTGAGGCGGCTGCAAAGGACAAGAAGAAGTTTGCCGAGATGAAAAGAGTTGCTGAGCTTGTTTTTGGGTATGGGCGATGGGGGTGTGCTGGGAAGATGATTGCGTTTTTGGAACTGAACAAGATTTTTGTCGAGGTATGTCTGTCTGGTACCGCCCTTCCTTGCAGATCGTCGGAATATGAGACTGATACGCAAGACTTGTTTGCCAATGATAATAGCTGTTGCGGCACTTTGACTTTCAGATTGTCTACCCGTATGAGCCATGGAGAGGGGTCAATTTTAACCTGTGGTTGCACAGCGATATGTGGGTGAGTGTGACGAAGAGAGACACTTCCCGTTGACGCTGATCTCGACCGAGCGTTGTCACCGTTGGCAAACGGATGGATCGGGTGCTGTCAACTGTCAACCTACCTTAAACCAGCGGGTAAAAAGTCAACGGTCGGTGGCCGGCCCGTTACGCCCGTCCGAGATACTGGATCAGACGGCATGGTCCACCCCGCCCCGGAGAATGGAATGTTTCGTTTTCTTCTGATTTCTTCGCTGTGAGAGGCACCATACATACTGTGTAGGTCACACTCATCTGCGCCGTGCCGTGTGCCTGAAAATCCAAGATGGGCTTCTGCAGCCCCAAGAAAACGCTAGCCCCTGGCAGGAAAGAGGAACGGGGGTCGGATGGGCAGATGGCGCGCTATGATTGGGCCGATAGCAGTTGTGCTAGCATGAAACAAGCAAAGCCCGAACCCTCTCGTTGCAGACATTCAGGGGCCTCCCCAGACGCTGGCGCGTGCTTCCAGCGGGCTATCCCGCAAAGGGCTTAACCGCCAATACCTGCCAAGAGCTTCCAAGCTTCGGTTCGTGAGGAATCCTGCTTATCGACACGCCCCTTTTCGGGCTGCCAATCTCTTTTCTCATCTCCATGTCCCCATGGTCCATCCCGTCGCTCTTTTCGTCTATTCTTTCTCAATATCGTGCCTGTCGTTGGCAGTTCGTCGGCCTCTTCTGGCAACCCTCACTCCTTAGCAACACCACACGCTCATTCATCAGCATCAGCATCAGCTATCTCACAACCCACACGCGACAAGCAGCTCTTCGTTGACTTGCCCTGACCGAGACGAGGCACTCCCAATTGCCTCACACAATCCCTCCAAATTTCGATTCTTTCTTCCGTGGCTGATCAATTGATCTTGATCCCCCGATTTTTACCACGACTTTTTTTGACGACGACATCCTTCGAGACAGCAAACAGTGATACAATACAACGACATGCAATTTTGATCATCGAGGCACCCCCTACATCAACACTTGACACCAAAAACACCACACCTCACACAGTACCAGAACCATATTGACAATGAGGTTAACACCATCGTTTGCGCCCGCCCTCGGGCTCCTGGCGTGGACGACATTTGTTAGCAACGTCGCCGCCCAGGTCACCACCAGCTGCTTTCCCATGAACGAGACATGCCCGCCGAACCCCGCCTTCGGCATGGACTACAACTTTGTCTTCAATGCCACTCCCAAATTCGAAGCTTGGGAGACCACCGTGGGACCTGTCAAGTACTCCCCCGAGACTGGTGCCGAGTTCACCGTCAAGAAGCAGGGCGATTCGCCCACCATCCGCTCCCGGTTCTACATCTTCTGGGGTCGCACCGAAATCTGGCTCAAGGCCGCCCCCGGTCGCGGTATCATCAGCTCCGTCATGTTGCTGAGTGACAACCTGGACGAGATCGACTGGGAGTTCTTTGGCGGCAACCACACCGTCGCTCAGAGCAACTACTTTGGCAAGAACCAGCCGCACTACACCAACGCCCAGTATGACGAGATTGCCAGCGTCCAGGATGACTACCACAACTACACCCTGGACTGGACCAAGGACTACCTCGACTTTTACATTGATGGCCAGAAATACCGCAGACTGACCCCCAAGGATGCCATCAGCAAAGGCGACGGCAAGAAGGACAAAGGCGGCATGGACCTGTACCCCCAGACTCCTATGCGCATTTCTATCGGTATCTGGGCTGGTGGTGACCCTAGCTTGCCCGAAGGCACTCGTGAGTGGGCTGGTGGTACCACCGACTACACCAAGGGTCCCTTTTCCATGTTTGTAAAGAACTGCCACGTTACCGACTACAGCAGCGGCAAGGAATATGTCTATGGAGACCGGACCGGTATGTGGCAGAGCATCCAGGTTGTTGAGTGAGTCGAAGGTCCCTCCCAGACACCAGAATTGAGCTTGATACTGACTGGTTGATAGGCCTGGGAAAAATTCCACTGTCGAGGATGCGATCACAGCACCACCACCTGAGCCCGAAAAGACGATGGCCGAGAAATGGGAAGAACTTCCCAACGCAGCAAAGATTGCCGTGTACGCCGGTGGCTCTTCTGTTGGTGCCGCCATCTTGTTCGCCGCTCTCTTCTACTGCATCAAACAGCGCCGTCGTGGTGCCAAGGAGGCCCACGAGGCCCAGGCGCGTGCTGAAGCCGATCGTCTTGAGATGGAGCGCTTCAGGAAGGAAGGCATTGATCCCGATGCTTTCACCAGCAACGCCCAGGAGTACAATGCCAAGGATATGGCTCGCGATGGTGTCGCCGACAAGGACAGCTACAGTGTTTCCTCTTCGCCAGCCCCCGCCAACGAAAAGTTTGGAAACGTCGTCACCATGGCCACTGCTGCTGCCGCAGGCGCGGGTGCTGGTGCTGCACCTGCTCGTGTTGCCAACAACGGCAACAACAACGATAGCCCGTTGAACAGCCCTACTCCTCTGCTTCGCGAGGGTGCGCAATCCCCACGTACAGTAGACCCCACGAATCCCTTCGGCCCGAACTACGTCGGCAGTCAAAACGCCCGGTCACCTGGTCCCCCGTCTCCTTACAACCCGCACGAAGCCCTGCGTTCACCAACAGGATCTTTGTACAACCAGTCAATGTCGCCGCCCCCTCACCAGCCCCTGCCTCACCCACCGAACCGAAGCATGACGAACCCGAGCGTTCAGTCAAGGATGGCATCACCCGGACCGAATCAGCAACAGCACGGGTTTGACTTTGGCATCGGCCAGCCGCCCCAGAGAAGCGCCACCACCAGCCCAGCACCTCTAGCCCATCCCCAACCCCAGAGGAGCTTCACCACACCCACCAGCGGATACGGAACCCCTCCGCAGCTGCAGCAACAGCCTTCGGGCTACGGCAATCCTCCAGGGCCGGCCAATGGCCCTCAGCAAGGGTACTGGAATGGTGGGAACGGCGGCGGTGGTGGTTACAGTTAACGCGTCTGCTGTTAGTCTAGGGAGATGACAGCGACGCGGATCTCTTGTAGTGGATTTCCGGAGTTTTTCTTTTTTTGATGTTGGCCTCGATTTTCCTGTTCTTTGTATTACCTTATGGCATGAGAGCATTTGGCGCGCGATGATGAAACTCGTTTGTCATGGACACACTTGAGTACTTGCAAACATACGCACACACAGTACGCTTTATTTTCCTGGGTTGGATAGACTTGTTGGCACTAGATACCGTCGAAGAAAAAAAGCTACGGCTGGTGCCGGGCAAGGTGATGAAATGGTACACCCTGCCTCCTTTTGCCTGACTTTGCATTTGAACATATCTTGCTTGCTTGCGTTGTTTTGCCTTCACGCTCTTGCGTGCCCCATTGCTTTCTCACTCAGTTTGCGCTCATAGCATGCTTTTCCCCAAAGCGTTCTCAAGATCTCCACCATCAAGTCAGAGAAAAGGGCGTGTGGCTCAGTTGGTAGAGCGTTCGCTTAGCATACTCATCCTTGCATCGTCAAGATCAGGGATCCATTGTATGCGAAAGGTCCTGGGTTCGATTCCCAGCTCGTCCAAACACCATCTTCTCAGTGGGTTGTTGCTTTTTTGTTTCTTTTTTATTTGCAAGCAAATTTGATTGCAAGGATGAAGTGGAACGGAGGGACGACAAGAAGGGCCATTGGCTGTGCTACAATTACCCCTCGCATTATTTGTACGACCCAGAGGTCCGACATACATACAGCCAGCCAGATGATAATAGCCGGGCGAGATATACCGATCTTTTGGAAGAGGATGCTTCTTTTAACCCCGAGAGGGGTCACCATTGATGGGTTGAGTATCTCTGACTTCTCACCATTCTAGTTCTTTTCTACTACTCAGCACAGATAGCTCTCATCGTCAACAACTCGCCAGCCTGACCACCCCCACAACAAATACCATGGCCACCTCACCAGACAAAGCAAAAGACCAAAACCCTCCCATCTACAACCCCCTGGGCTCCCCCACCCGCCATACAACAACCCACTCCCCCTCCACCGGCCTCTCCATCTTTGCCCCTCCCTCCCTCCTCCCCCCAACCCCTCCCCCCTACGGCTCAGTGGGGATGGTCGTCCACGACGTCTACAAGACCTTCACCACCCCCCTGGACATGACCTCTGAAGACGACATCCACCGCCTCCAGTCTCACCCCCTCCAACCAACCCCGAACACGATCTGGTTCCCGAAAGCGCCGGGCGAGACGCTGGTGCGGTACTGCGACTGGGGGCCGGGGCAAACGATTCAGTTTCACAGAACTGAAACGATTGACTTTGGGATCGTGATGGAGGGCGAGATGGAGCTCAGTCTGGATGGCGGGGAGAAGAGGACGCTGAAGAAAGGGGATGTGGTGGTGCAGAGGGGGACGATGCATGCTTGGGAGAATAAGAGTGATACCGTCTGGGCGAGGGTGGTGTTCTTTCTTGCGGGTGCTGAGCCGGTGGAAGTGGGAGGGGACAAGAAGGCGGAGGTGTTGCCTTGGAGTCATGCCTGACTTTCACTTGACACTTCCATGGATCATTTGGAAGAGGGTTTCAACTCACCACCCGAAAATCAAACCATAAAAGAGCAAGAAATAGCTCTTAAAAATAACACCCACACACATCCTCCCTGGTTTATGACTCTCCCGCCGGGAATTGAACCCGGGTCTCGAGCGTTGACTATTCTTTCTTAGAAAGAAATGACAAGCTCACATACTGACCACTATACTACGGAAGATAAATGTTATGTAACCTTGTATCAACAGATGTTTGTGCACCTGTCGTAGTTTTTGTCAAGAGAGAATATGTGTGTGTATCTGGACGTACCGCGAATTGAACGCGGGACCTTCTGTAAGATCGCAGACGGTGCGAAACAGAAATCATACCACTAGACCACACGCCCGGATTTTGATTTGTTGGGATTCTGACGAGGAAAGAAGGTTCGAGGATGGGGCTGGGGTGTGTGTGTGTGTTCAGGGGTGGATAATAGGGCAGTGGTGGGGATGAGGGTTTGTGTGGCTGAATGGGGTGGAGTGTAGGAGGTGGCAACTGTTCACGGTACCCCTGACCCCTGAATTTGAAGCTGTACAAAACAAACACTTCCGAGCAAATGTATGAACAATCCTAGACTGTCATTACCATATCTACCTAGCACTCATTCTATCCATTCCTATTTTTAACCCATTATTAGAAAACCATCGCTCGTATGCGTAGCGTTGAACAGAAATCCCATGGTATCAAATGCCTTGCGTTTCCCGTCTAAATCACCTTCTATTCCATTAAATTGAAACCATCTCTTTTTGAACGTCCCCCACCTATTTTCTCTTGAACAGCCCCTTGACCACTCCGACACCCTTCTCGAGCGCACCAAACAGTGGCCCAAACCCAAACGTCATACCCTTGACTCTGACTGTCCAGATGAAGAAGTAGACCAGCCTGTCAAAGAATATTAGCAGCCGTATCGTCGATCAAAGAACAAGCGGTCAAAACTTACATCCAGTTGGTGAAGCAAAATACCAAGAAAATGCCAAAATCCCTCCACTTCTCATCCGGATTGATCCCCAGCGTGTTCAAGTACTCATTCCCGCTCGAGTACGGGCAGTACCCACAGTCCACCGTATCATTAGGATTGAGCAGATACCCCTGCCCAGCCTGTCTCGCAAAATCTCCCGCGAACTCCAAACAAGTCTGTCCCGATGGCGGATTAAAGTAGGCCGCCTCGTTGGGCGCGCACTGGACATTCTGACCAACCAAGGTGGCCGCGAGAACACCCCTGACCCACCACGTCGATGGGTTCAGGTAGTAAATCCAATACTTCCAAAACACATTCAGCTGGTCATAGGGAACCACCACACCGTTGAAGATGGAGAAGGTGACCAAGAAGAACGGCAGGATATTGCTGATAACCGTAAAGTTGGGCGCCCAGGCACAAATCCACTGACCCCAGCTGGCCATGAAGAGGAAAAAGAGCAAGGTCATCAAGAAGACGTAACCGGCGACGGGAGCGTCAACAGGCAGACCGGTGGGGAAGTACCACAGGACAAAGTACAGCACGGCCGCCACGATGCTGCCAGGGATCTCAGACAAGACCTCGGCTGTGCAAAAGGCGACCCAACCGTAGATGCGCGACGGGTGCTCACGCGCCTCCCAGAGCATACGATTAGTATAAAACTTTGGCAAGACTGCGTTGAGCACAGTGGCGGGAATCATGATGATGAGGAAGCACGTAAACATGCGGTTCTGCATATCAGCCACCGTGTTGCCGAGCTTCCAGAAAGTGAAGCCGTTGAAGATGCCGACAATGACAGCTGTGAACAAACGACCGTAGAGATAAGACGGTTGGCGCCATTGGTGGATGAACATGCGCTTGGTCAGGAGGCTGATCTGAGTCCACGTAGGAGCAGCAAAGGACTGCATCGCCGGCTGAACAGCAGTGGACTCCCTGTTGGCCTTGGCGCGCTCTTCCTTGAGGCGCTGAATCTCGGCCAACAGCTCTTGATTCTCCTTGGACTCACGCCATTCCTGAGTCCAGTGGATGCGCTTGCCATTGGGACGTCGTCCTCCCTTGATGGCGGTCTCGAGGAGAAACTCGGCAACGTTTCTGCCGGGGGGACACTGGACGCCACGGTCGGCAAAGTACTTGACCACTGCGCTACCGTTGTCTCCAACGGGACCAAAGTAGATGGTGTTGCCACCGGGGTTCAAAGCCAGAATCTCGTCAAACTCCTGAATCAGGTCAGATGAGGGCTGATGAATAGTGCAGATAATGGCCTGGCCAGCAGCGCAAAGCTTGCGGAGAAAGCGGACGATGGATAAGGCGGACTGCGCGTCGAGGCCGCTGGTCGGCTCGTCAAGGAAGAGAAGCAAAGACGGCCTGGCCGCTAGCTCCACGCCGATGGTCAGCCTCTTCTTTTGCTCCACACCAAGAGACGCAATGATGGCGTCCTGGACGTCAGTCAACTCGAGCAAGTCCAAAACAGTGTCGACATATGCCAGCTTCTCGTGCCTGGGGGTTTCGCGGCTCTGGCGGAGGAGTGCTGAGAACTCGAGTGCTTCCCGAATGGTGGCAGTCTCGTCGTGAAGATCCATCTGCTCAACGAAGCCAGTACCGCGTTGGAAGTCACCAGTAAGAGGCTTGCCATCGACAAGCATGTCGCCAGAGACCACGCCAACAGTTTGCCGTTGGGACAGAGTGTTGAGGAGTGTCGTCTTGCCAGCACCACTAGCTCCCATGAGCGCAACCATGACTCCAGGTTTCGCGTACCCGCTGACTCCGTTGAGCAGCTTCTTCGGTCCCTGAGGGGTTGGAACAGTGTATGAGACATTCTCCCAGGTGAAGACCTTGTCGCTCCCTGTAAGACCCGTGAGTTCGCCCTTCTCCGCACGGTTCTGGTAAGCAACATCGGTGGTAGAGGATGCTCCTGTCACAGTGCCCTTCTCCACGTCAGCAGGCTTTGCAGCGAGTTTGGCTTGCTTGGCTGCCTTGCTGGAACGCTTGAAGACAAGTGCGCCGCCACCAGATCCGACAAAGGACAGAAGCTCCGTTGCGGCAACAGTGACGAGAAGATAAAGCACAGAGAAGGCAATCAGAACACCGAAATTGCGCCACAGATGATCACGGGTGTAGTTGAACTGGCTGTCGAGGTATGCCGTTCCAGACACGTCAGTACTTCCAGCCACTGAGCCAGGAATCGCGCAACCCTGGTTGGCTGGTAGAATACCCGGTCCCTGAGGCACGAGATGTGCAGGAGCACACTCCATGATTCGGCCAGAGAACTCATTGGTCAAAGCGGCTTCGAAGGCATATGCAAGCTGTTATTTGTTAGCAGTTGCTTGGTGATATTCAGGAAAAAGGAGCCTGCTTACCGGATTCACGTAAAAGATCCAGCCAAACCAAATCTTTTGCGACACCAAAATGGGCTTGTAGATGACGTAGCCGGTAAAAATAACCAGCAAGTTGAGCGCAAGTCCAGAGAAACGAACGGCATCATCAATCGTCGGTGACAAGGACGCAAACATGCGGTACAGGGCCGTGATGCAAAAGGTGGTCGTGTAGATGAACAAGAGACTGATGAAAAACTTGGCTGGCGTCAAGTCCAAACCGGTCATGAAGTACATGATGACACCAAAGATGACGACCTGGAAAATCAATACCGGTAAATCGACAAGAGCGCGGGCGAGGTTGACGGCAGAGGGACGATAGAAGGCGTATTCCTTGTGGCGAGCAACAACGACACGGCCAGACACAGCCTTCATGAGTTCAGCAAGCTGGAGCCAGCCAAGGAAGACAATGGAGAAGAAGGCGGCGCCAGCGCGAAGGAAGGTACCGGCGGTGTTGTCAGGAGTGTCGTAAAAGAGAGAACCGACGATGAAACCGTTGCTGATAATGGTGAAGTACTTGGTGTATATCTCCGTCTTATTTCCCCACATGAGCCAGAATTCGCGGCGAGAGCAGGCAAGAACCTGCTTCCAGAAGCTCACAGTGTAGTTGGAGTCCGAGGCAACGCGGCGGGACTTTTGCTCCTCGACTGCTTTCTGGAATCTTTGGGTATCGGCGTGTTGTGTCTCTCGCAGATGCTTCTCGAACTCGTCCACATCAGCAAGCACCTTCTTGTAGGCCTCGCTATTCTTGAAAGCCCTCTCAATCTCCTCCGCAGTCTTGGGACACTTGTCTTCGTAGCCCGGGCGGAATTGCCGGGTGACAGGATCGCAGATGGACGTGAGAAAGTCGGGCGTTGTTTGTCGTGGTGGCGCGTGGAATCCAAGATCAATAAAGTACTGTCTGGCCTCCTTGGCAGGGCCCTGATAAAGCATGCGCCCCTCATCGATGACCAGGACCTTGTCCATCAACTCGTAGATGCCTTCACCAGCTTGGTACAGCGTGGTGATGGTTGTCCGATCCGACACATCCGTCATGACACGCAGCGACTTGGCGTAATCCAAAGCGGTAGATGCGTCGAGGCCTCTCGTCGAGTTGTCCCAGCACACGATGGTGCTCTTAGTGGCTAGAGCTTCGGCAATGCTGACGCGCTTCCTCTCACCACCAGAAACACCACGTGTATAGGCATTACCGACGATGGTGTGTTTGGTGTGTTGGATGGCAAACATGCGCAGCAGCGAGTCAATGATAAAGTCGACATTGCCCCTGAGATGCTTCTTAGTCTTGTTGAGCAGCGAAAACTGGAGGGTCTGGCCGACAGTCAAAGTAGGCATGTGCTCATCGTCTTCACCGTTGTAAACTACCTCGCCTCGGTAGTGTTTCGCAATCTCTTGGGCAGAAATGCCACTATATGATACCTCGCCTTCAACAGCAGCATAGGAACCTCTGTTGTTGGCGATGACACGGAGAAAGGTGCTGCAACCACTGCCGGGTCGTCCGAGAACAAGCATCATCTCTCCATGTCGTACCACACCGGTAAAGTCGTTGATCAGGGTCCGTAGCTCTCCTTGCTGGCGCTTGAACCGAAGTGCTGGGATGAATCTGCAAAGAATGCCGTAGAGATCAGGGCCAAATGTGCCGAGAATGGCTTGGGGAAGTGTTTTGACAAAACTCGCGCCACCACCAATGCCTTTGACGGTGACGTTCTTGAATACTACACCCAGCTTCTTGCTCGACTCGCCAGATTCTGTGCGCTTCTCAAGGTGGCCGTCGCGCATAAACTGCTCCAGTTGAAACTGGTCATCGTCTTCGGAGGACTCGTCCGAGCTGCTGGCATCGTCGTCTACCTGCTGTTCAGG